ACGAGTTTGGTCCGCAACTACTTCTTGCTGCCGCTCTATTTGCCCCTGCAGGTCTTCAATGGTCTCTTGAAGTTGCCCTATTTGCAAGTCCTTTTCGGCCATTTGCGCCATGATGCGCCTTTCCCTAGCATGACTCTCCACTACTTCTTCTCCCATGCGCGTTAGTTCCGTATCCTTACCGGCCAAGCGACTCATAGCAGATCGAAAGTCATTCTCGGCAGTGGTCTTCTTACTCAGTAAATTTGATAGCCGCTGCCGAAAGTCGGCAACTTGGGCAGCGTGACTTTTGGTGGTAGCTTCGTTTTGATCTGCGTATTCGCCTTCTAATTCCTCAATTCTTTCTTTAAGGTATTGGTTTTCAGCCTCAAGCTCTTGGAAAGCCGCTCTAAGAGCCGCCTCGTCCGCATTTGCCTTTAAGAGGTCATCGCGCTCCGCGGTAATTCGGTTTAAGGCGTTTTCAGCCGCCTTCTTTTGGCGAGCGATCTCCGCGATTTCGTCTCTCATTTCCTTTAGCTTTACCCGATGAATTGCTTGCTCCGCGAGGATTGTGGGGTTGGGCTCGGATTGCATCTTACGCATTTTGGCGTTCATTTCCCTTTGCGTGGAATTCAGCCTGGCGATTTCCTCGTTTTTGGCTTGGAGCCACTCATTTTGTTTTCCTAGTTGCGTCCTTAAGTCTGCCACGGTTTCCATTTGCCCTCCCGCTGCCGCTGGTAGCTTCGTAACCGCCCTGTTTAAGAACCTACTAACGGCGGCTTTTGTTTCCTCCTGGGATAAGCCCTGTTGCACTACTAAGTTAGGCTCCCCTATAGCTTTTTTCAAAGTAGGAGGAATTTTAGGGTCGGTAAAGTACCTACCTCTTTCATCCCTAATTACGTAAATTTTGGAGCCGGCTTTTGAAAGTCTGCCTATGATGATCTCCTTACCCCATTGGTTGCTGTCGTCGAATTCCAGCTGGGCTTTGGTGTGATCCCAGTCTGGTAGTAGCTCCGTTAGTCGGTCAAAGTCGGGGGCTACATTTTCCTCTAAGGATTCGTCCATGCGCATGGTAACCATTTCCGCCCAAGTTTGCGTAGGAGGTTCCGGTACTGGACCTAAATCTTCCATCTGTAAGTAGGTAGGGATGGGGGTACTGGGTTTCTTTGATCGCCACATGCGAGCCAAGGAAGCCTTAAACCTTTTCCACCTACTGCCATACTTTTCTCGTAAAGCTTCGTCGAAGATTAGGGGGTCGGTTTCCTCGCCTTTAGTCCATGCGTCAAATTCTTCATCGTTAATATCGACTTGACCTTCTTCGGTAAGGGGGTCAAAATCCGTTCCTTCTACTTCCATTATATATGATAAGCTCAAAGTTAAACCCCAAC